ATCAAATTATTGCGTCCCTGGTCATCCCCCCTGATCTTGGTTACTTACCATCCTTGCGAAGGTGCAGAAAATAGTCACTCAAATAATTTTCTGTGTCCTTGTTCAAAATCGGGAACCTCAGTTGTGACAGTGTTCTCCGTATCTGTACACACACACACACACACCCCTTCTCCCTTTCTCTCACATAAGCACGAAAAGGAGAGCCCAGCCCGGGCTTTACCCTGCTTCCTCCCTCCTTCTCAGGGCTCTGTGTCTTGTCACTAAAGTGCACTGGGCTGTAAAGGTGAAATGTGAGGGCTCTAGAACTATAGTTCTGGGTTCAGATCCCGGTACTGTCACTTTCTAGCTACAGTGACCTTGTCCAAGTTGTTTGACTGTTCTGTGCCACTGTTGCCTGGCATGAAAATGGGGCAACAGTGAGGCTCACCTCAAGAAACCACTGTGAGGATTAACCTCTCAACACCCTTTGAGCACTTAAAGCAGTGCCTACCACACGCACAGTCAATGTTGCCGTTGTAATTGCGAGAGACAGCTGGACGGGAGGACGGGCTGATCTTCCTGAACAAGCTTGGAAGAATGGAAAAGAAACACAGTCAAGACTCCTTTTCCACCTGTAAATTAGTCATTCATCAGCTGACACACTTTTGTTGAGCTCCAACTATGTACTAGATAAGTGCTTCTCAAAGTGTGAACCCCCCGCTCTGCAGCAGCAGCAGCAACATGACCGGAAATCTTGTGAGAAATGCAAATTCTACCATCGCCCATCACGCTTCACTGGCTTTCTGGATCAGAAGCTGAGGACGGGACCAAGCAATGTGTGTTTCACTAGCCCTCGAGATGTTTCTGATGTTCTGATGTATGTGAGCCATTGCCCTGGGTACAAAACGTGAACAAGACAAGTGTTCTGGCCTTCAGGAGCATACAGACTCCTGGAAGAGACAGAGTTGTAAAGAAAAACAGCCAAGGTTCTGAAAGACACAGTAGAAACACAGACAGCAGTGGCTCATAAAAAGGAAAGGGGGAGATTCAGCACTTTGGAAGGAGATTTTGGGCGGAGTTCCTAAGCAAGTCTTCCTTAAACTGTCTTGTGCGAAGACTAGAACTTTTACAGGTGTAAGTAGGGAAAATGACATTCCCAAGGGGGCAGTGTGTGTGATAGGCAGGTACGTTTTGTCCACTGTTCCATTGCCAGTGCCTGGAACATTTCCTGGCTCATAGAAAGGACAGTGGAACAGCTGGACACAAAGGTCTTAAATTCCCGGGTCTGGGATATAGCTCAGTGGCACAAGTGCCTGCCTGGCAAGTACAAGGTCCTGAGTTCGATTCCCAGTACAAAAAAAAAAAAATTAAAAAAATTAAATTCCCTTATACTGAATTTTCATGGGTCAGATCTTCTCAGCATAAGACATTAAAACCAACAGGCCAACCTGCTTTTGAGTTTTCTGTTTTCAGGACTATGTTTCTATAATAAATTAGCTAATGACTGGATTGTTTGTTTAATCTGCTACATCTTAAAGCATGGCTTGGCAGTACGAGGCGTATCACTTCTAACTCTGCAGGTAGTTCAGTGAAGCCCAGAGCCCTTGCTTGGTACAAGCTGATTTTGAACCCACAGATTTTACCTGCAAATTATTGATGCTTCTTCTCAACCCGTTGGTCTTCACAATAGAAACCACAACAGTTTCCTCACTAAAATGTGAAGAACCACGTATCCCAGGCAGCATATTTCTTTCTGCTTTCGTTAAGATCAACCCTGCATACAAAATGATTGTGTCTTGTACTTTGTGAGTTATGTTCTCATGTGATGCCCTGTGCCAGATGCTTGTTCTTCTTTCTTCTGGATGCCAGGGCACACTTCATAGCGTCGGAAACTTTCCCTTGGGTACCTCTGCATCTTCACATTGACCACAGTGACAGGTCTGGTAACCAATTCAAAAGAAAGGACTTAGGCCAAATTAGACTCAAGCAGTAAGGTTTCCTTCCTCTCAGACCCACATCTGAGGAAGCTGCCCTGTGGGGCTTCCCTCCCCAGCAGCCCTGCCATCCCTCCTCTGGCTCTAGGTACGCAGTTAATTATATCCCTGGTCAGTTTGCCTGGTCCTGTGATCTGACAGCACTTTACAGGAGGGCAGCTGAAAGCTGTGTTTCTAATAAAGTAGATCAGAAGTCCCATGCATTCGAAGTGATAAAGGGATACTGGGGATCATGGACAACCGCCTCCTCAACCCGCTGCCTTGTTCCACTGTATTACAGGAGCGTGAAGTTTCCGGACATTTAACCTGCCAGTAGTCTATGATATGATGGAGGAAGAGATGAAAATACGTACTATTTTTTTAATCTCAAAATTAAAATGAGTGTTCTTTTATTTATCTGTGCTGGTTAGGCAACATAGCTTCATGTGGTTATTCATTAAAAAGAAATTTTTTTTATAAATTTGAGGTAGAAGGAGGAGCGAGGGGCACATGAGATTCCAGGGAAGAATTGTCACCTGTTACATGAAGGGTGTAACTCTGAATCCTGCTGCCTCTCTCCGACACTGCAAACCTCCTGAATAGAACACTTTGTTCCTTAAATTTTACATTTCTACACATCCGGTGGCTTGATTTCTCTATAAAATCTATTTTTGTTCTTTGTTTCAGTCCTTAACCCAAAAACAAACTTCGGGTTAATGTTTGAGGAGAAAATATATGCGTTAAGCAACTTATAATGCATAACTTGGAGTGTAATTGTTAGTGTTTAAAACTTTGATTTTGCAGAAAAACAAACACCTAATAGCTACTTAACAATTGACACTTCAAGAGTCCTGTCCTTCACCAGCTTAAGCTTTTCTGCTTTCTTTAACTTTTTCTTTATTTCTTTATTTTTATTAGTTGTGGAGGACAAGGGCCAGAGGCTATAATTGGGGGTGAAGGTGACAGCCAGGGCCAGTGTGGAAGCTGGTAATGACTGCAGGGCCACAGATGCAGGCATATGTTCTTGGCATTTGAGTGCATATACGTTGGTGTGAGGATGGGGACAGAATTTTATAAAACATACAAGGATAGAGAAAAGACTCTGGTATTTATGTAAATAATTAATGAAAACACTGACCCCTCATCATGTCACCCTGAGATGTCAACTTCATTTATCTAAATATTTGATGGGATAGTTTGTGTCTCAGTCATCACCGCTTCACTGAACTTTCTCACAATTATTCCCCAATGTTATTTCCAATTTTAGGTGAGCCTAGGTAAATCTGAAAACTGAGGTTTGATCCCTACAGTCAAGGTGAAAAATGAGTTTCAAGGACCGGAGAGGTCATCGTTGATGGTTTGGGAGAACCTTGCTGCAAAAGGACCTCAAGAAACAGGGAAAGCTTTATAGGCGAGGCTCTTGTTTGTCCAGAGAGGACTGAAAGTTGGGAGGAGATATGAAAAGCATCAGAAAGTTCGTGGGAAGATGAGCCCTTCCTGGTGGTTGGGGATAATGAGTGTGTAACTGTGCATAGACACTCCTGTCCTGCAGGTAATAGAATCTTTATGAACCCAAGATTGCAATTGTTAGTGGAGACTGCGTCAAAAAAACAAGGGAGGAGAGGAACTAGGAGTTAAGAACCATGTTAAGGAATACAAGTTCAAGAGCAGTATATTGAAATTTTAGAATGTGGTATTTATAGACAATGGAGTACTACTGTGCTGTAAAGAAGGATAAATTTTGAGACCGTAATGTTAAGTAAAATAAATCAGACACACATGGTTTCTCTCATGTGAGAAACTCAAAATATAAACAGCAACATAAAAGCCAGGTAACAGCAAATAGGACAACAGAACTTTTGTAAAAGGGAAGAAGACCAAGAAATAGAGGGAGGGGAGGGAAGAGGAGGTAAGAGAAATGAGATGTGTTTCATACGTGTACACACTCCGAGGAACGTCATCCTCATGTACTGTAAACATGTACTAATAAAAATAAAATAAAATAAATAAGTTATGCTTTAGGATTCCCCATTTGCTAGTCTTTGTGTCAGAATACATTATAAAGGATCTGAGATTCCTTGTCTTTGACTCAAAGAAGTGAAAAAGTTAGAAATGATCTCATTTGCATAAATACAAATGTTATCATAAAAAGCAAATGAGATATTTGTTTAAAGTAGCTACAGATAAAGTAAAAAACATAAGTTATGATTGTAGATGAATGTAATGCTGTAGCACAGTATGAACACAGCAACTTTACTATTCAAAAGTATATTTAGTAATTAATAATTTAAGCTGGTTATAAATCAATAGTAAAATTATTTTCCTTAATCTTAGTCTCCTAATAAAAATCATTTCTTAAGATCCTTACTACTCTATTTTGTGTAAATTTAGAAAATTAGAGATAACTTTACTTACAAGGTGTGATCACAAAATACAGTGAATGTTTAAATTGAAAAATATTACAATAAGACACACATTGCCATTAATCCACTAAAGTACTTCCTCTCAGTTCAGACACACTTGCCCCATTATCCTTGTCACTTTCTGAAGCAGTTCTAGAGATCTTCTTTCGTGAGTATCTTTAGTTGCACTGTCTTGACTACCTTGATGTTCTGAGTGGAGTCAGAATAAAATCTTTACTTTTCACGGTCATTTGGACTTTAGGGAAGAGCCGAAAGTTGCACAGTGCCAGATTTGGTAAAAGAGGTAGATGAGGACACAGCATCATGTTTTTATTTGACAGAAATTGCTGTGAACATTTTGAATCCATTCAGGTCATCAGGGCAACCGTGAAAGGACACAAAAGGAGGGCCTCCATAACGGCTTCAGAAAGTGGCCAGATCTGTGGGATAAGTATATTCAAAGCAAGGGGGTGTACTCTGAGGGGGTTAACATTCAGTGTATTTTTTAATCAAACCATGAACTCTGCGTAAAGTGCATGTGACAGAAATTTTTTGAAGTTAAATTCATTTATTGCATTATCTAACTAACAGCAATACTTGATAACTGACTCAGAATAATTCTAACTCCTGTTTTCTGGTTTTACAGCTTGGCTCATCCTCTTCTGTGCCTTTTACATCTATTTTTTCTCAGCTTTTTATGACTGTTGTGGTTCCTCTCATTATTGGACAGGTAAGTTCTCCAGTTTCTAGCCCTTCGTTTCTTCATAGATCAAATTGTGAATTCTTGTGTAAGGTCAAGGAAATTGGGAGAAATGATATCCACAGGGAAGAAACAACTAATTGAAAATACAGGACTGTGAAAGTATAGATTCATACCACAAAATTCTCATCTTTTGTTAAATTAATATTAATCTGCTTTTAGCTATATGTAGGATTCCTGAACAGAATCTTAAAATTGGCTGGGGATTTAGCTCAGCGGCAAAGCGCCTGCCTGGCAAGCGCAAGGTCGTGAGTTCGGTTCCCAGGACCGGAGAAAAACCAAAAAAAAAAAAAAAAAGAAAAAATGGAAAATACAATTCCCAAAATAAAAAAAAAAAAAATAAATTTTGGGGCTGGGGATTTAGCTCAGCGGCAAAGCGCCTGCCTGGCAAGCGCAAGGTCGTGAGTTCGGTTCCCGGTACCGGAGAAAAACCAAAAAAAAAAAAAAAAACAGAATCTTAAAATTGAATCTTAAAGACTCAGGAAAAGTTCTTCGGTCTTAACTTTTTATAACAAGTTCCCAAAAGCATATAATTTAATTATGAGCATATAAATTATAAAACAAGGATTTTGCTGGTTGATTGGTTGGTTGTAAATCTTAGGTAGCTATGTTAATGAAGAACAGAACTTAATATACTACTAAAATGAATGAGTCTGAGAGGACCAGTAGAGTGACCCGAGAGCACAGATTTGGGAGCAGCTAGACTGTCGACTTCATTCTACCGCTTGGCTGCTATGTGACCTTAGACAAGTCATTTACTTTCCCTGACTTCAGGTTCATGATGTATTAAAAGTTATAGTAATAGTACCAGCTGTAAGTCACTGCTGTGAGGATCAAAGGAAATAGGAACGCATAATAAAGTGCTCGGCACAGAGCCTGATGCAGGCAAATGCTCTACAGCTTCTTTCATCGCCATCGTCATCACCATCACAGTGATCATCAAATTGTCTGCAAAGACTACACAGAAAGCACATCTTTGAAGTATTGCCTATAAAAATGTTGCGTAAATAGATAGCATTTACATGCTGCTTAGTGTCAGGTTCTCAGGACAGCAGAAACTGAGGCAGAGGTTTCTGTGCAGGAATTTTGCAGGGCTGAACCCACAGGCAGGATGAGAAAGTTGGCTAGGATGACATCTTCCCAGCAAAGGCTTCCACAGGTTCCCCGGGAGCGCTGGAGCACAGAAGACCCTCAAGTTGTCCTGCTGTAAGTCAGGAGTGCCTGCACTTCACGTTCCTGACCTGAGAGCTCACGAGAGGCTGGTTCCCTCCACGCACTAAGGGCTGTGATGAGCGGGACTCAGCTGGATATTTCATTCTGGCAACACGCCCTATGCTTGTAGAGATTTCTAGCAAGATGGGTCTGCTCAGCACACCGCAGCATTACTATGCAAGCATTATTTTTTAAATTTTTAATTTTATATTTATAAAAGGGGCTCAGTTAGCAAAAATGGGCAAGATTTAAAAGCACTGAAAGATTACTATTCAATTAAGTATAAAATGGTACTTACAAAAAATATTTCCTCTACAGTGCTGATCTGATAAGAAGTCTGTATAGCTATTACATCCTCTGCCTACCTTTCTAATCTCTGCTCCATTTCCTGCCTCTGCTTTCCCTGTTTTTTTCTCAATTCTTCCTGTCCTTTCTGTAACATGTCTTTATGTTCACCCTCCCACCCCAGATTATTACTCATTTGACTCTTTAATTCAGGCTTTCTTTGAACTACCTGTTATATGTCTCCCTGGTTATCCTTTATTGCAGCACATTATTTGATTTCTTTTTGGCCATTCTCATAATATATATTACCTTTTGTATGCTTTCTGTTTGTCTCCTCCATTAGGCTATGAGCTTTATGAGTAAAGGAATCATATTTGCTTTCTTTACTATTACATTTGCAGACTATAGGCACCCAATGAATTGTACTGGGTGAGCAAGTGAAAAAATGAATGAGTGAGGTACTATGATTCATATGAGGTATTCCCTCTTACAGAGGCACAACTGAATCTACCTGTCCTCATCTTGACACAGTTTAAGCTATGGGTAGCATTAGTTTAAATACGTATTTATTTTCTTGGTGCACAAAATAACTCCACTAAAATAACTCCACATTTAATAACTTCATTAAACTAATAATACCTTGAAGCACATAATTTTTCATATCTCTAATAAGAAATGCTTGACTTAAAACAGGGACAAAAACAAAAAACCCAGTTATTCATTTTTTTTAATTTATAGGGTTGTATCATTTATATAATTAAAGACTTTTTAACCATAGAATATAATGAATTGTTAGGGGGCTGGGGATTTAGCTCAGCGGCAAAGCGCCTGCCTTGCAAGCACAAGGTCGTGAGTTTGGTTCCCGGTACCGGAGAAAAACCAAAAAAAAAAAATAATAATAATAATAATAATGAATTGTTAGTTTGCTCATCCTTTGTGTGAATAGTAGTAGTCAGTAAATTATAATGTAATAAAAGTAGTCACAAAGTAATATAAGTAGTTGCTTTAAAGTAGTGCAGGTTACCTGGCAAGCGTGAGGTTGTGAGTTCAATTCCCAGTACCAAAAAAAAAAATCTTTGATTAAAATATTTCTAGTTAAGTAGTTCAGGTACCAGTGTACTTCGGTACCATTCTTCAATGAAGAAACCTATATGCTTTCATCTGCCTGCCCCTCCTCTGTGTATCTTAGTCTTAAAAATTAACAATCATCAACCGCAGTCTCCGTGTCTGGAAACCACTCATCAAGCTTGCCTCCTCCCTCTCCTTGCATCCTTGCCCTGACATCCAAGCAGACACTAAATTTTACCGTTTCTGCCTCACAAATCATTCACATCTGGCACCTGTAACACTGCACACTGCCAGAGAGGGTGGCATAGCTCTAAATTATCACACCTCCCAAACTCTTTTCCCTGCTGACTCTCTTATGATTCCTGTCTACTCTTTACCACCTCCAGGGTAGGCCTAAAAAATGAATCAGACCATGTTATCCTTAACTGCTTCTCCATGATTCCCTGTCACCAACTGTCTGCCCCACAAATCCCTTCATAGTCTGGTCCCAACCTGCACTGCCCTCACGTGGACTCCTCTTTTGCCATGTTGTATGTACATCATGCCCTCACCTGAACATGCCCTCACTGCTCCATGCCTTTATCATCTTGTCCCCATCTTTTCTGTCAGAAAACTCCTGCTCAAGCCCAGTGTGGCAGTGCATGCCTGTAATCCCAGCACTTGGGAGGCTGAGGCAGGAGAATCATTGCAAGGTCAAGACCACCCTGGGCTACATAGTGAGTTTAAGGCCTGTCTTAAGTACATGGTGAGACCCTGTCTCAAAGAAAGAAAAAAAGAAAACTCCTGCTCATTCCTGAAGACTCACTGTATGCTTTCCTTCTGAACTAAAGCCCACCTACTCAAACTTCCCTGGCCTACCCTAAATTCCATCTCTCCCATGGTCCTTAATTCACAAATATACTTTCAAGGGCACTGTCATTTTCATTCTCAAGCATTTGATCCTCTTCTAGCATAGACAAACATAGTCACCTGACTTACTTACAATTGGATCTTGGATTCATTCCTTCCCAGTTCCAGTATCTTTTATGACCAGTAATGCTCAAAGTTGAGCATTACTCAACTTACTTTCAAAAGTTGAGAAAGGTGATCATGCACCAGGTAGGAGAAAACCCTGGCTCAGTGTCTTTCAAAATCTCTGCTAATGTTTGAAACATGTCAAAACTCCAACTACATACTTGTCACCCCCATAATTTCAGCTTGGCTTTGAATACAGCCACTTTATCTACAATTGGAGTATAGTTGTTATTCTCCTCCGAACTGACAATATCTTAGTCACTTTCCTTGTTGATGGGACACAATATGTGACACCCACAACTTAAAGGAGGACAGGTTTCTTGTAGGCCACATTGACAGAAGTTTCAGTTCATGGTTGGTAGGCTCAGATACAGAAGTGCCATGATTGAAGGGCCTGATGCAGAGCAAAGTGGCTCACCTCATGGCAGTCAGGAAGCAGAGAGCAAAAGGAGGACCCTTCCAGGTCGTGGCCCCCAGCAAACCAGACACCACCTCCTAACAGTGCAGTCAGCTGTAGGTTAGGAGTGTAGCACCCCATGATTTAGTCACCTTCCAAACACATGAGATTTGGGGGCCCCCCGAATCTCAATCATAATGTAGCCCAAAAAAACTCATATCCATCTCATTATGCAAAATGCATTTAGTTCATTTCTAAAGGTTGTCAAAGTTTTAAAAGTTTCAGCATTGCTGAAAAGTCCAAGTGCAAAGTCTCATCTGAGACGCAGGGCAAACTCTTAGCTATGAACCCCTATAGAAATCAAAAAGAAGGTTAAGCACTGGGAGCATACAGTGGTATGGGTAAACATTCCTATTCCAAAAGAGAGATAGAAGGAAATAAGGAGATAGAAAAAAGACCAAAGCCTAGCAGGGCAAACATTAACTCAAGAAAAGCCATGTCCAGTAGATCACCTGGAGCAAGTTGTGGCAAGGTATGACCTACAAATAGCTTGGGTGGCCCCACACCTATGGCATTGCCCTTTGTAGCCCTCATGATCTCTCTTGGGTTGGTTGTCACTACCTGTAGCTTTCCTGAGGCATTCAACGGTTTTGGCTTCTCTGACTTCCTGGAGTCTACATTGTACTTTCAGCTTCACTCTCACAGTTTTAGGCACTGCCCTGTCAGGGGCACTGCCTCGCTTCCCAGGCCTTCCTCTGAAATAGGGGTGGAAGCCTACTTGACACCATGACTTTTCCATTCTGTATGCCCATAAAACCAGCACCACATGGATAATGCCAAGGTTTTCCATGAGCTCAAGCAGTAGCTGGCCCTCCTTTGATCATGCCTATAGAGGCCTCAGAGTGCATGGATGGCTAAGTACCATGAACTCAAGTCTGGGGAACCAGTTCTTTACCCATCCCTTCTCCAGCAGAGGCTTTCTTCTCAAACAAAG